CTGGAAATCAGCCGCTGATCAGTTTTAACAGCAGCTGAATCTGGACGCCTGGGACAGAGCAGCTGGGGCGCTGCCAGGTAGGTCCCTGCAGCGCCGCACCTCCGCGCTGCGGGGACCAACCCGGCAGCATCCCAGCTGCTCTACCCCAGGTGTTCCCAAGTCAGCCGTTGCTGAAACTGATCAGCAGCTGATTCCAGGAAGCGGCTGAATCTGGACCTCTGCCTCGGGCTTCCGGTAGTGAAACTGACCAGCAGTGGCTGAATCAGGACTCCTGGGGCAGAGCAGCTGGGGTGCTGCCGGGTTGGTCCAGTAGCGCCCACCCCCAGCAGACCAGGGAGACGCGGGCGGCGGGCCCCCCGAGACGCGCCGCGGTCCTGCCGCCCGCATCCTCCGCAGCTTTGCTCCGCGGCGAGAAAAGCCCCGTTCGTATGTAGGGATCCGACGTAAGTCGGATCCACGTAACTCGGGGACTGCCTGTACAATCTGGATTTCTATATACAGTGCTTCCGCAACAATGCACAGACTGACATTATTCACAAACAACAAGCGACACACAATCTCAGCCATGCTGAAAACTATGCCATCCAGAGTCTCAAAAACAACCCGGACATTATAATCAAACCAACTGACAAAGGGGGTGCTGTGATCATTATGAATATGTCCGACTATGACCAGGAGGCAACTAGACAACTCTCCAACACTACATTTTACAAACCTCTCTCCTCTGATCCCACTTCAGAATACCAAAAGAAACTACACTGTTTCCTTAAAAAACTCCCTGTCTCTACTCGGGACCAAATTCACACAGAGACACCTTCTGAACCCCGACCAGGATTGTTCTATCTGCTCCCTAAAATCCATAAACCTGGACACCCAGGTATTGGCACGCTCACTACTGAATTATCCAGCTATGTAGACTCTCTTCTCAAACCCTATGCAACCAACACTCCCAGCTATCTCCGAGATACTACTGACTTCCTGAGAAAACTACAAAAGATCCAGCAGCACAGCCATGGGTACCTGCATGGCCCCACAGTACGCTCACATCTTTATGGCTGACTTAGAACAACATTTCCTCAGATCCTGTCCCCTTTTACACCCCTTCTCTACTTACGCTACATCGATGACATCTTTATGATCTGGACCCATGGCCAAGAAACACCATTATGATGCGTGAAGTTTTGTGCATTTTATTACTCATTGAGGCTTCCCTGCAGCATAGACATGCTATTTTGAAATAAGCTATTTGGGTATGTCTACACTTGCAGCCTAATTCGAACTAGGGCTGCAAATGTAGGCATTCAGAATTGCAAATCAAGCCCGGGATTTAAATATCATTGCAGGAGGAATAACAGGTAGTTTGAACTAGGGCTTTATTTCAAATGCCCATTTCACTGCCGTATGTAGACGCGGGCAGTTACTTTGGGCTTGTAAATTTCAAAAAATGGCACCCAGCCGGGAAGATGCAAATCAAGCACGGGATATTTAAATCCCAGGCTTGATTTTCAATTCCGAATGCCTACATTTGAAGTCCTAGTTCGAATTAGGCCGCAAGTGTAGACATACCCCTTCAGAATAACTATTCCAGAATATTTTATTTCGAAATAGCCATGCAATGTAGATGTCTCCTTATATACTAACTCAATACCTGGTGTTAATGTACCTCTTTTACAATCCTTAACTAGGACATACTCATCTGTTTAAATAATATTCTCTAAGGGCCTGGTTCAGCAATGCATTTAAACACTTTAATTTTTGGTATGTAGGTAATTTCACCTCTCTTCAAAAAAGCACTCGATTTCCATTGTTGTTCATGAGATTTAAACATGTGTTCAAGTGATTTGCTGGATACAAATGGGATTAATTACATGCTTAAAGGCAAGCATGAGCTTTGCAGAACTGTGACCCAAAATTATTCATGAAAATACAGCAACTGTGCAAGAAATCTCTATGAGGAAAGCGGAAGTGAAATTTGTTTGAACCTGGGTTGCATACAGACTTTGTTGAGCTTTGAGGTGCTCTTACTTCATTAAGACCTTGAACTTGAATTTTCAAAGGTGTCCAACTCCTGTGGGATGCCAAAAGGCTCTGAATGCTTAACTCACTAACACTCCTTTGAAAATTTCAGTCTTGATCTTTAAAGAAGTGGTCTAGTGGCAGTCTTAAGTTCAGGGTAGTCTTGGTCATGCTAATGGTATAAAGTAGCCTAAGATCTGAAGTAACTTTTTATTTGATTTATTGGATTACAAGATTCTTTAAGTGTCATAATGGCAGCTTTAAGGTAAATGAGCACCCTTAGCTTTTAAATTTATTAAGTTCACCATGGAGTTAAAATTGACTTAAACACTTAAGTTTCTTGGCAACATAAAGATTTTAAATAGCTATTTAAAGTGTCTAGTAATAAGCCACTGAAACTGCTTAGCTCACAGACATTTACCTTCTCCCCCTCCCCCCCGCAACCCCTTTCGGTTCTGAAATTTGATTTGTCCTTTTCATATGTGTTCATTTTTTTAAAATTGTATCTTTTGGTATATATGGTTGTGACTATTTTCTTCCACTATTTGATCTGAGGAAGTGGGTCTGGCCCACGAAAGCTCATCACCTAATAAACCATCTTGTTAGTCTTTAAACATAAGAACGGCCGTACTGGGTCAGACCAAAGGTCCATCTAGCCCAGTATCCTGTCTTCCGACAGTGGCCAGCACCAGGTGCCCCGGAGAGGGGGGACCGAAGACAATGATCAAGCGATTTGTCTCCTGCCATCCCTCTCCAGCCTCTGACAAACAGAGGCCAAGGACACCATTTTATCCCCTGGCTAATCGCCTTTTATGGACCTAACCTCCATGAAATTATCTAGCTTCTCTTTAAACTCTATTATAGTCCTAGCCTTCACCGCCTCCTCTGGCGAGGAGTTCCACAGGTTGACTACACGCTGTGTGAAAAGGAACTTTCTTTTATTAGTTTTAAACCTGCTCCCCATTAATTTCATTTGGTGTCCTCTAGTTCTTCTGTTTAGGGAACTAATAAATAACTTTTATTTATCTGCCCTCTCCACACCACTCATGATTTTATAGACCTCTATCATATCCCCCCTCCGTCTCCTCTTTTCTAAACTGAAAAGTCCCAGTCGCTTTAACCTCTCCTCATATGGGGCCCGTTCCAAACCCCTCATCATTTTAGTTGCCCTTTTCTGAACCCTTTCCAAGGCCAAAAGTGCTACATAGTCCTGTCTTTTGTTTCAGCCAGACCAGACTAACACGGCTGCATCTCTATCACTATGGAAACAGGTAGGACTCACTAAGGAGGAATGACGAAAGAACAGCACAAGCATGAGGGACAGAATCAGAACAGCTACAACACAAAATGAGTTCTAGCGCGATCTAGCAATAGGGAGAGGTTCTTGAAGTCGGTTAGGCACAAGAGAAAGAGGAAGGAAAGCACAGATCCTCAGGTTAGCAGGAAAGGAGAGCTAATCAATGACATCGAAAAGGCTGAGGTGATTAATGCCCAGGGCTTGACAAACTATAGAATCTACTCGCCCGTGGTGAGTAGATTTCAGCCGCGTGCCCCGTTCACTGGCAGCGCGCGCGTGCACAATGCGGGTCTTGCGCATGCGCAGTGTGGGGCTGGCGAGTGGGTTTTGCCGCCATTTGTCAAGCCCTGTTAATGCCTGTTTTGCTTCGTGCTTTACTCTAACGTTAGTGGGGCCCAGATGCTCAACACAATTAACACCAATAAGGAAAAAGGAACACAAGCCAAACTAGGTAAAGAACAGGTTAAATATATTTAGATAGGGAAGATGTATTCAAGTCAATACAGTCTAATAAAATCCATCCTTGGGTACTTAGGAACATGTTGAAGCAAGGAATCTTATAACTGCTAGCAGTGATCTCTGCAACTCCTGGAGGGGGATGAGGTCCCCGAGGGATGGAGAAGGGGCAAACACAGCACCTCTCTTTAAAAAGGGGAACAAAGAGGATCAGGAGAATTATAGACCAGTAAGCCTAACGTCAGTGTCTGGAAAGATACTGGAACAAAGATCAGTCAATCAATGTGTAAGCCCCTAAGTCAGGGGTGGGGAATCTTTTTTGGGTTGGGGGCCACTGAGCCACAGAAAAAAAAAAATCAGTCAGGAATCACAAGTGAGCAGCCAAAAAGACCCCTCCAAAAAACAAACCCTGACTGGCGTGGCCCCTGACTGAGAAGGAAAAAGGCCCTCCCCCCATTCCCCTTGCACATCAGAGCCTAGGGGCCTGGACTAGTAGGCTCCGTCTACACTGCAAGTTTTTGCGGCAGAAAATGTGCTAATGAGGGACTCGTTAGCATGAGTTGCGATGTCATTAGCATATTTTCTGCTGATTCTTTTTGTGCAAGGGGATTTTGTGCAAAAAGACGCAGTGTAGCCGCTTCCGTTTTGCACAAAACCCCCCTTTGGCCGGAGAGTCATAAGAATCTTGCACAAAAGCGGCTACACTGCTTCTTTTTGTGCAAAAACCCCTCGCGTGAAAAGAATCGGCAGAAAATATTCTAATGACATCGTGACTCATGCTAACGAGTCCCTCGTTAGCATATTTTCTGCCGCAAAAACTTGCAGTGTAGACAAAGCCGTAGAGTTTGTGTGTTCCAGCCCCACAGAGAGATGACGAGAGGAGGGGCTGGAGCATCAGCACAGGTTCCCCAATGCTGGGCGGAGGGGAGGCGAGGCAGACCTGAGTTTCAGGGGCCGGATCCAGGCAACCTGGGGGCTGCATCTGAACCCCGGGCCTTAGGTTCCCCACCCCTGCCCCTTATCTGCCCCAAAGATAAGGAATAGCCAGTGTGCATTTCGTAAGAGCAAACCATGCCAAACAGATCTAGTTTCCTTCTGCGTAAGGGTTACTGGCCTAGCAGGTGGGGGAAGCAGTAGATATGATTTACCCTGATTTTAGAAAGGCTTTTGACATACTCCACATGACAGTCTCATAAGCAAACGAGGGAGCGGTGGACTAGAGGAAATTACTGTACAGTAGAAGCACAGCGAGTTGGAAGATGGGACTCGAAGTAGTTATCAGTGATGCACTGTCAAACCAGGACAGCGGGAAGTGTCAGTCCTGAGTCCGGTACCATTCAATGTTTTCATTAATAACTTGGATAACAGAGCGCGAAGTAGCACACTGAGCACAGGCGCTGACTTCCCCTCTAGCTGGGGGGCTCTTGACCCTTCCCTCCCTTTCCCCAAACCCTGCCCTGCTCCATTCCAGCCCTTCCCCCAAGCCCTTCCTCCACTCCATCCCTGACCCCCCACCTCTTCCCTGCCTCCTCCCCCAGCAAAGGTTACTGCCCGGCTGGGATTAGACAAGGAGCAGGGAGGGGAGCTCCAGGTCTACCTGGTCCTGCCTGGAGCACTGGGGTTGGACTTGCCGTCTCTAGGCCTCTGCACGCCTCTGACCCGACGGAGAACCCGTTTCCGAGGGCACTTACCAAAGCCTTGGGCCAGGCGGCGCGCGGCGTGGTGTACTTATAGCTCACGTACCCGGCTGTCACAAGCAGCAGCCCCACAGCACACGTGACTCCGCCCAGGCAGTAGAGGAGCCAGCTGTTGTCTGTTCCGTGGGGGAAAACAGGCAGTTGAGTCCCACCGAGTCCCTGGGCCTTCTAATCCAGCCTCCCGCTTCACGGTGCCATGGAGCACAACAGCTGTTCTCTACCAGGCTCCCTGCTGCTGCTTGACCCCACCGCTCATTCCTGCCCGCTGCTAGGGGCCCCAGACCTGTGGACCTCCCAGTGCAATGGCCAGCGCTGTACACCCCGCCTGGGGAAGAGGGGAGCAGAGGCACAACATGCTGCTGGTCTGTGCTCCCTGCAGCGGTCGGTCGCTCTCAGGCCTGTCCACAGAATGGCCCCATCTCTTCCCAGACTGCCACGTGGACACAGCCCCTCCCCAGGGCAGCAGGGAGGCCAAGCTCCCCTAACGGGCAGTGGTCCCGCCCGTGCTCTGCACCAAGGCTCCCCCCAAGCCAGCAGCGTGGAGCTGGGCTGGGGCCCAGGGGCTCCTTTGGGCCAGTGGGGCTTGGGGAAGTCGAGCCAGCTGGCATGGCTGGGGCAGGCTTGCTAGGGCTCCTCTGGCCACGTGGGGTTAAGGGTGCTCAGGGCTCTGGTGGGTGGGGAGTGGGATCTTAAGGAGAAGGGGCAGAGCCCTGAAGGGGAGGGCCTCACACGCTGCCTGCGCCCCTCCCATGTCCAGGGACAAGAGCCATGCAGCTGTAGCAGCCTCACCCGGTAACGTTCTCACTTGGAAGACGCACGGCTTGCTTCTTTTCTCTAAGTGCTTGAGATACAGAGTCCCGTTATATTCAGTGTCCGGGGTCAGGTTGGAAACTTCAAATTCTTTGTTGTGCTCGTTGCTTTCCCACTGCTCAAAGCAAAGCAAAGCAAAGCAGGGGTGTGTATTTTACAGAGGTTAAATTATTGAGTCACTTCAACTCCAATTTAAAAAATCTCAACAAAACCACCTGCATTTCCAAATGAAATCCTCACCTGACTCTTACTACTAACCACCAGGATTAGCAAAACATCTGATTTGCTGCCACAATTAGGTTGTTTGTTTTTTGTAGTTCACTTCCCTGGGACAATGAAAAATAGTAGAGCTGGTCGGATTGTTTTCAGTGCAACAGATTTCCATCCCAAAAAGGAAATTTCCCCACAAAAATCACATTGATTTTGATTAAATTTTGTTTAGGAAAAAAAAAACTGAGGAAAAACTTTCAAAAAAGAGTCAAAAGAGCCTATTTTAAGAGTTTTTGAACAAAGAGTTTTGAGTTTTCATTTTTCAAAACGTCTCATTTTGAAATTTACATATAAAAAGAGCTAAAATTGAATCTATTGACCCCAAATGAAAGTTTTATAAATGATCTTGAAACCGTGGGGATTTTCAGTCCCTATTCAGGAGAGAAAAAAATTCAAAATCTTGATTTTTTTTTTTCATGGAACAGACCGAAAAATCAATTTTCCAACCAGCCCTGCCAGACAGTTCATGTTCCCACTTGAGTCTGATCAGTTTCTAGTCAGTTGAGGAATTGGTGGTCTCTGAAAATCAAAGATGCTGAAAATTTCATTGTTCTTCAGAAATTCCATTCCGCATTAACTCACGTCACTCCTGCATGTTACTCAGACAAACAAGCCAACAGCCAGTGGATCCGTGGGAGCGCGTTACCTCTCGGTGTGACCTTTGGCTGAAGAGCACCATGTGGTAACTGATGGCTCCAATCCGGCTGTAGATGTCCTCCACAGTGAGCAGTCTGCCATCCTCATCTCTCACAGGCGTGTAGAGGGGCTGGATGGAAAACCTGACGGACGTGACTTTAGGAAAGCACTTCACCTCCAGCTTTCCAATCGTAGCTAGAAGACAGAGTGGATGGCAGTTGATAAATGACCAGAGCACATGTTTAGTGACTATCATTAGTGCTTCCCATCTTGTCCTGTGCCCCTCAGCCCAGAGTTATTAAACATTTATGGCATCAGTCATTCCTTATCGCAAGATGGGAAGGAGTTACTGTGACTGATGAATTCTCAAATCAACTGAAGGGCAAGCAGCAAAAGAAATCAGACAAGGTTACAGGTGGAGGCAAAGCATTGATCAGCTGTGAGCTGAAAGGTCCCACCTGCAGCTTGTCAATCAAATCGCTTCAAAAAATCAAACCCTAGAGAATGGCGGCAGGATACAGTATAATCCCACCTTGATATGCTCTCCAAAGAAAGATGAATTTCTAGTAGTTGCAGATGCTACATGGGACTTTCGTAGCGTGTTTCATGCAAGGATCTCAAAGGGGTTTGGAAACACTGAGGCCTAGTCTACACCTAAAAGCTAGGAGGACCTAGCTACCTCACTCAGGCTGTGTCTAGACTACACCTCTCTGTCGACAAAGAGATTTAGATTAGGCACGTCAAAATTGCTAATGAAGCAGGGATTTAAATATCCTGCACTTCATTAGCATAAATATGGCCGCCACTTTTTTTCTAAATGGAGCTTTTTCAAAAAAAACGGCAGTCTAGATGGGGATCTTTCACAAAATAAACCTTTTTTCGAAAGATCTTGTATTCCTCAAGAAATGAGATTTACAGGATCTTTCAAAAGAGGGTTGTATTTTTGAAAGATCAATGTCTAGACTGCTAGGGTTTTTTTTCGAAAAAGCTCCATTTCGAAAAAAAGTGGTGGCCATGTTTATGCTAATGAAGCACGGGATATTTAAATCCCTGCTTCATTAGCAATTTTTACGTGCCTAATCTACATCTCTCTGTTGACAGAGAGGTGTAGTCTAGACACAGCCCGAGTGAAGTAAAAAATTCACATCACTGAGACACATAGTTAAGCTGACCTAAACCTGGTATAGGCACACCCAAGTTGATGGAAGCACTACTGGGGAATCTGAAGTTTAGCTATACCCTAAGTCTCACAATGCCCCTGGGAAGTAGGCATGGTGAATATTAGCTCCATTTCCCAGAGAGGGACAAGTGAGGCAGAGACAGGCTAAGGGACTTGCCCAAGTCCACACTATCAATATGTGGCAGAGAAGACATGGCAGACAGGTTATGTTAAGTACCCATCAGGCTGGCAGCTTGTCCTAAATATCCACTGCTCCATATCTCACAGCTGCTGTGACTTGGTCCCTGGCTGCTCACAGGCACCCATCACATCCCAGTTAGCGTCCAGCTGGGTCCTGAGCTCACATCCCTAGAGCTCACCAGCACCCTGATCTGGGCATCTGGCTTTCCAGGAGAGTCAGGACTCAGGAGCCTCCTCCACCTCCAACCCACGCTGGACACAAACACCAGCCAGCCCCTTTCTGTCTGACATCGGTCTCCTTTGGGCCCACAAGCCCCTTCCCACACGGGCTTTGTCCTGCAACGCTGAAGCCAGCTGACATGTTGCAATGGACATCAGCATGAACAGAGCTCAGGAGCCAGGGGTGCAGTGTGAACAGCCGTGGCCCTTACTGTCTTCTCGGGGGTCGAATCTCTCCAGGCGACGGCCCTCACTCTGGCGTAGTAGCGGTCGGTGAAGCTCTGCGTCTCCCGCGTGAGGTTACAGAAGGGCTGCGTGATGTTCTGGCACTCCCTTTTCTCCTGCCAGTGTTTGTCGCCGTACCTGAGAGAAGACAACAACCGCGCTCAGTCTGCCCTAGAGAATCACTGTGGAACCCTAGGACCCTAGAACTGGAAGGTGCCTCAAGAGGTCGTTGAGTCCAGTCCCCTGCCCTCATGGCAGGACCCAGCACCAAATTCTAGCTCATCCCTGCCTGGTGTCTGTCCAACCTGCTCTTAAACATCTCCAGAGATGGAGATCCCACAACCGCCCTAGGCAACTGATTCCAGTGTGTAACCACCCGGACAGCCAGGTAGGAAGTTTTTCCCAATCACAGAACACTAGAACCAGAAGGGACCTTGAGAAGTCATCAAGTCCAGTCCCCTGCCCTCCCGGCAGGACCAAGCACCGTCTATATTATCCCTGACAGATGTTCTTCTGCTCTACTCTGCGCTGGTCAGGCCTCAGTTGGAGGATTGTGGCCAGTTCTGGGCGCCACATTTCAAGAAAGATGTGGAGAAATTGGAGAAGGTTCAGAGAAGAGCAACACAAATGATTAAAGATCTAGAGAACATGAGCTATGGGGGAAGACTGAAGGAATTGGGCTTTAGTTTGGAAAAGAGAAGACTGAGAGGGGACATGACAGCAGTTACAGGGAGGAGGGGGGGAAATTGTCCTCCTTGGTCTCTGATGATAGGACAAGAAGCAATGGGCTTGAACTCCAACCTAAACCTCCCTTGCCACAGTTTAAGCCCATTGCTTCTCCACCCTGCCCCCGCCTAAATATTGGAGAGCTGCACTAGCAAAGTACGAACATCCATGTCACTATTTTCTGCTTCTCGCAGGCTGGATCTCAGAGCATTTTACACACGAGTGAATTAAGTCTCTGAATGCTTTTGTGCTCCCTCATTTCACACACACACACACACACACTTACTTTCCCCTTCTGTAAACTGAGGCACAAACACAGGAAGTGACTTAGCAGACAATCCTGGAACAGAACCCAGGTCTTACAGCTCCCACACTCAAAATGGTCTCTAACCTTCTCCAAAGGGAGCAATATGCAGATGTGAGACATACAATTACTGGGAGGTTTTAAGATGCTTTTCGTTCAGACACAGATAAGAATTTCTTCAGAGGGCAGGTAACTTTTTGGTTTGCCTCTTTAAGAGAAAGGGGCCTGATAACAGGAACCAAAGTATCAGCCTCACAAAGGGGACGGTAAGAACACCCAGCTCATACTCCCTTGCTCTTGGCAAAGGCCTTGGACAGATGGAAGGTACCATTGGCAGAGCCCAGTGTCTCTCCTTTATTTAGATGCCGAATGAGGCTGAGCCCCTCTCCCCCCGGCCCCCCCAGCTGCCAGGCACTGAACTCTGGGAACCCACCCTTGTTAGGCTCCTAGATATGGATTTCGCTGCTTGCCTGTAAAGCCCTCACATGGAACGTTTTGCCCCTGGCTGCGCCAGGAAACCCCACTTCTGCTCTGAGCTGTGGCAGGTTTGTGTGGGGCATGCGCCCTCCCTGCCTTTTCGGGAATGCATGGCTGTCTCTGCAGGCAGGCAGCCGGGACCTC